CGAATTTTGGTAATTTTTTCTAGGAAAATCAAATTAGATTAATAAAACCAAACGGCGGAAAATATTTTCTATTTCATTTTCAAGTTTAAGCAAAACACTAGAAAATATTATCATTTTTCATGAAATAAACGAGCCAAAATTATAGTGCCTAGCTCAAATTTTATTTATGTCCCAAATAAAAAAAGAAACTTGCAATACCATATTAGACCCTCTTTCCATAATATCTTCCAAGTCCAATTCATACAAAGAACACACTAATCATAAAGAAACTAAAAAAATAAAATCCGACTAAATACGTGTTTCATCAAGTCTTTACTCCCCCCATCGTTAGGGTGTGCAAAATGGACCGCCAAAATCAGGAACCGGGTTTTTCTTTCGGGTCGAAGTTATAAACCCAAAAATTCTTTCGCAAAACCCTAAAATCTTAAATGGCCGAAACCCCCTCTCCCTACTCGCCCTCGCCCTCGCCCTCGTCCTCGCCCTCGCCCTCGCCCTCCCCCTCTATCTCTCTCCCTATACTCGTTGTTCTCGATCTCTCGCCCTTTATGGATCTGAACCAAATAGGAGCTTTCTTCAGCGGGGTGTACTATACCTTTTTCGACCATAACCGTCTTCTCATTGTTCAATACTTCGACCCTAATTCTCATTTCGATTTCGCCACTATTCTTTTTGCTTGTTCCTTGGCCTCACCGGCCTTGGGCGAGCGTGTCCCTCGCCTGTGGCCGGTGATCGGCCAAGGGAGAAGCAAAAAGAAAAGGAAAAAAAAATGAAAAAAATCCAATTTTGGTAATTTTTTCTAGGAAAATCAAATTAGATTAATAAAACCAAACGGCGGAAAATATTTTCTATTTCATTTTCAAGTTTAAGCCAAACACTAGAAAATATTATCATTTTTCAAGAAATAAACGAGCCAAAATTATAGTGCCTAGCTCAAATTTTATTTATGTCCCAAATAAAAAAAGAAGCTTGCAATACCATATTAGACCCTCTTTCCATAATATCTTCCAAGTCCAATTCATACAAAGAACACACTAATCATAAAGAAACTAAAAAAATAAAATCCGACTAAATATGTGTTTTTTCAAGTCTTTACTCCGTGCATTGTTAGGGTATGTAAAACAGACTGCCCAAATCAGGAACCGGGTTTTTCTTTCGGGTGAAGTTATAAACCCAAAAATTCTTCCGCAAAACCCTAAAACCCTAAATGCCCGAAATGCCCTCTCCCCGCTCTCCCTCTCCCTCTCCCTCTCCCTCGCCCTCTCTCTCTCCCTATACTTGCTGTTCTCGATCTCTCGCCATTTATGGATCCGAACCAAATAGGAGCTTTCTTTAGCGGGGTGTACTATACCTTTTTCGACCACAACCGTCAGCTCATTCTTAAATACTTCGACCCTAATTCTCATTTCGATTTCGACACCATTCTTTTTGCTTATTCCTTGGCCTCACCGGCCTTGGGCGAGCGTGTCCCTCGCCTGTGGCCGGTGATCGGCCAAGGATGAAGCAAAAGGAAAAGGAAAGAAAAAAATGAAAAAAATTCGAATTTTGGTAATTTTCTCTAGGATAATCCAATTAGATTAATAATACCAAACGGAGGAAAATATAATCTATTTCATTTTCAAGTTTAAGCAAAATACTGGAAAATATTGTCATTTTCCACAAAATAAATGAGCCAAAATTATAGTGCGTAGCTCAAATTTTAGTTATGTCGTAAATAAAAAAAGAAGCTTGCAATACTAGATTAAACCCTCTTTCCATAATATCTTCTAAGTTCAATTCATACAAAGAACACACTGATCATAAAGAAATTAAAAAGATAAAATCTGACTAAATTCGTGTTTCTTCAAGTCTTTACTCCCTTCATTATTAGAGTGTACAAAACGGACTGCCCAAACTAGGAACCGGGTTTTTCTTTCGAGCCGGGGTTATAAACCCAAAAATTCCTCCGAAAAACCATAAAACCATAAATGCCCGAAAGCCCCTCTCCCTGCTCTCCCTCTCCTTGCTCTTCCTCTCCCCTCTTCCTCTCCCTGTTTTCGCTGTTCTCGATCTCTCGCCCTCTGTTGATCTAAACGAAATAGGAGCTTTCTTTGGCGGGGTGTACTATACCATTTTCGACCACAACCGCTAGCTCATTCTTTAATACTTCGACCCTTATTCTCATGTCGATTTCGACACCATTCTTTTTGCTTCTTCCTCGGCCTCGCCAGCCTTGGGTGAGCTTTTCCCTCACTTGTGGCCGATGATTTGCCAAGGAAGAAGTAAAAAGAAAAGGAAAGAAAAAAAATTTTAAAAATTTTAAAAATTCAAATTTTGGTAATTTTCTCTAGGAAAATCAAATTAGATTAATAATACTAAACGGAGAACAATATTTTATATTTCATTTTCAAGTTTAAGCAAAATACCGGAAAATATTGTCATTTTCCACGAAACAAACGAGCCAAAATTATAGTGCCTAGCTCAAATTTTATTTATGTCGCAATTGCAATATCAGATTAGACCCTCTTTACATAATATCTTCCAAGTCCAATTCATGCAATGAGCACATTGACCATAAAGAAATTAAAAAAATAAAATCCGACTAAATTCGTGTTTCTTCAAGTCTTTACTCCCTCCATCGTTGGGGTGTGCAAAACGGATCGCCCAAACCAAGAACTGCCTGAATCGGATCGAACCAACCAGTTGGTCCAGTTCCTGGTTCCAAGGAAAAACTGGACCGATTAGACCAGACCGACTACATATATATTTTTATTTTTTATTTTTTCAAAAAAATTAGTAAAATGTGAACTAAATCCTGAATGACCGCTTCCATTGGACTGGAATGGAACCGGACCGGGAACCAATCACCCCTACCCATCATCACCTCACCGCCTTCATCTTCATTGCATTTTACTTTGCACCCACTTTAATCTTTGCCCCCGACTTCTTCTCCACGCCGCCATCCTCGAACGCCTTCGCCTTGGACCTCGACATCGCCTCTGCGATTACATCGCCGCCGTCGTTGTCGATCTTCACTTTGAGCTTCGCAGTCGCCTCTTTGATCGCCTCCGACAATCCAACCTCCACCTCGTCGCCGATCTTGCATGTCAGGCAGCGAAATGGCCTAAGCAGCTCCATCTTCTTCGTCCACCGCCACCACGTCGTCCACCTTTTATTCATCACCACGATCAACGATGACGAATCCCCCTTGTGGCAATCGCTCTCGAAGTCGGCCTCCTTCACGGCCCTGGCCTTGAGCTTCTTGCGCTTCTCAAACGTGCGGTCGCTGACCCTCTCCAGCTTCCTCATCTGCGCCCGGGTCCTCTCAAGCAGCTGCTCCAGCCCATCGATCGTTGTCCTCTCGTCGGCCTCCAGGAGCTTCCGCTCGCACTTCCTGAGGTCGCCGATCTTGTCGACCATCTCGAGCTCTTCTGGCACCTACCCGAGCATCTCGTTGATGCTCCGCCTCGACTCCTTCAGCGCCATGATCTCCTCCAAGGCCTCGAGGTACGCCGGATTGGAGCCTGTTGATCTTGTTCATGCTGTCGAAGAAGAATCGCGAAACGCTTCTCTTCAGCTCCATTAATTCTTTCTTCTTCTTTTCGCGAATTTCGTTCGTGATTTTGAAAAATGAAACAGTGAATAAGCGAGATGAAATGACCTTCTGCATGCAGCATGCAAGCGCTCCATACAGAAGGAAGCATGAGGCGGTTGATTGGGTCGAGGCGGTCACGTAGAATCTCGTCACAGCCACTCACGAGACTACACGTGGCGGACAGATGCCCGGCCTCTTCGGAGGTTATTACGTGGAAATTTCGACAGTTTATATGGGCAAAAAAAATGATAATTATATATATTTTTTAAATTATGGGAGTTTTCGTGACTTGAAATACTTATATTGTATGTTTATATATTTTCCTAATTTTTTGTGGTTGGTGTATATGTAGAAATGGCACACGTTTATTATTAATACTGGCAGTACAAAATAAAAGTTAAACAGAAAATTACCAAAATAAAAAAGAATTCCTTTATGGATAAGAAAAGGCAAAAGCAAGAGTGGACCTGTTTTGATTTTCTCTTCTTTTTTCCAAGAAAATAAGTTATTGATTTTCTTGCTTAAATTATGAATGGCATTGAAAGTCTGGAAATTTACGAAAAATAATAAATAAATTTATATGTAAATACAATAAGAAGTCATTTAAGGCATACCATGTCATTGTAAGTTCGACAATAGTTAGAAACTTAAATCACGATTGATCCAACACATTTGAAGATCCTTATCTCCGAATTACATGATGAAACCTGCCTCTCGATTTCGTGTAGCGCTTTCGCAGTGTACTTGCATCGCGCGCGCACTTTGCACGCACGGGGCACGTTCGAATGAGAAAAATGCTAGATACGCAATAAAAGGGATCAAGCGGCGCTATAAGATAAACAGGTAGCTCGAGTTAAACCAACCATATCGTTCATGTCGAGACTTCACTTCATTGGCCTGGCAACTCATCACAGCAAGAAACTACTTCCGCATCGTGTTAGTCAAGAGGGGGTGTCTATCGCAAGAACATCTGAGGAATCGATCATTCATATGTGATGTGATCTTTTCGATGTTCGACATCGAAAGGGTCTTAAGATTCGAGACATGCCGACATATTCGTCCTGTGAAGACCCCCCTCCCCCTCGACGCGAACGCGCTCCCATGTTATGAATCTCTTCGAACGGTCCTTGTCGAGATTTGTGTGTGCCCGCGCGCTCGTATTCCGCTGATTTCGACCACGATGGTCATTTTGGAAACATCTCAAAAAGGAGCTGCTAGGGACACCAAAATCGAAGTATGGAGAAGGGACATGGCCAAAGAAGAGGAAGGTCATCGACATCTCTCTTCTCCATCCAATTTGAGCGCAAACCCCTCTTCTTTCACATCCACAAAATTCCAAGAAATAAAGCAAAAAGCAAGAAGAATGCACAACAAGAATCACAGCATAAAAATTTCACACCCGCCCCCGCCAAAGAAAAAGACATTAGACAACACTGATTTTCGATATATCTTACACATTAAAATTACAACCTAGCTCGAATAAATAGCTTATGCTCATCCATTTTTTTATATTATTATTTCTTCTCGATTTGAGGATTATCTTTCTAAGATAAGAAAAGGACACGAGAGAGAGAGAGAGAGGGATGACGACAAAATGGTGTAAATACATGCGAACCCCCCTCGTGTTCTGGAGCACACCCCTAATATTTATGGAAGCGAATCGCAGCCGTCCAAATCCTGCGCAGCACGTGAGCCCACTCCCCACGCGAGAAGGATGATCATCAGACGGCTGGCGTGCTGGCCTGATCAGCGACGTTCGGGGCGGGGCTCTGATTCTTTGGCCCCGCCCTCTTCACGCTGGGGGCGGCGGCGTCGATCAGCTGGTCGTCCCCGTCGTGGTAGACGTAGGCGAGCCCGCCGTGCCTCGTCAGATCCATGCCCTCTTTCTCGTCCTCGCCGGACACCCTCAGCAGCCTCAGCCGGTGGAGCCCGTAGAAGAGCGGTCCCATCGTCGCCGTCACCCACCCCACGATCACCAGGACCTCCACGACCTGCGCCGCCAGCAGCCGGCCGTCGCCGCCCACGAGCCACCCGTGCTTCCGCTCCGTCCCGCCGTACACCTCGTCCACGTACCGCTGCTTCGCGAAGAGGCCAGTGAAGATCAGCCCCCAGGCGCCGCAGCCCCCGTGGAGCTGGGCCGCCTCGAGCGGGTCGTCGTACTTGGCCAGCTCCGCCAGCTTGTTGAAGCCGATGAGCACCCACGCGGACACGAACCCGCACACGATCGCGGCCCACGGCTCCACCACGGAGCACCCCGACGTGATGGCGGCAAACCCGCCGAGCAGGCCGTTGCACACGTCGATGACGTTCCAGTGGCCCACCAGCAGCCGCTTGCCGAACAGCGTGGTGAGGGCGGCGGTGGAGCCGGCCAGCGTGGTCGTGACGGCCGTCCGCCCCACCGCGCTCCACTGGCCGTAGTATCCGCCGCTGGTGTTGTAAGCCTTCAGGATGGTGATGAACGAGCCCGGGTTGAACCCGTACCACCCGAACCACAGCAAGAAGGAGCCGAGGACCACGAGGGACGCGCTGTGACCCCGCAAGGCCACGACCCGCCCGGCGTGGTCGAACCGGCCGATGCGCGGGCCCTCGATGAGGGCTCCCCACAAACCAGCTATCCCCCCCACCAAGTGGACCACGCCCGACCCGGCAAAGTCGATGGCGCCGGACCCGAATAACAGGTTGCCGTCCGTCCGGGATGGGCTGGCCCAACCATCGACGGACCATAGCCAATGAGAGGCTATCGGGTAGACGAAGCCCGTCAAGAAGGTGGAGTATATGAGGTAGGCCACGAACTGGGTCCTCTCGGCGATGGACCCACTGGTGACGCCGGCGGCGGCGATGGCGAAGGCCCATTGGTAGAGGAAGAAGCTGTAGTCGAAGGTGTCGGAGGGGATCTCCTTGAGGCCGAAGAAGTGGCGGCCGATGAAGCCATTGGAGGGGGAGCCGAAGGCGAAGGCGAAGCCGAAGAGGTAGTAGGAGAGGCCACCGGCGGCAGCGTCGAGGACGTTGGTGAGCATGATGTTCATGGTGTTCTTGGCACGGACAGAGCCGGCACAGAGCATGGCGAAGCCGAGCTGCATGGAGAAGACGAGGTAGGCGGAGAAGAGGAGGTAGGTGGTGTCGACCGCGTGGGCAGTGTCGACGAACTGGTTGGAGATGGCGTCGAGGCGGCCGCAGAGGAAGGTGGCCATGAGGGCATCGCTGGGGTTGACGGCCGTGGAGTTGGTGAGCGAGGCGAGGTCCGAGGCGGAGCATTTGAACGCCATGGTTGAAGGGTTTGGGGTTTCGAACGATGGAGCTGTGTTTCGAAGTGAAAATGAAGATGTGGTGTTTCAGAGATAAAGAGAGATGGAGATAAGATTTAAGGACTGTCTGGTTATGGTTGTGTTGGTTTATATAGGGCATGGAGGGAGAAGACTTTTTTCAATTTTTCGTTGCCCATTCTTGTTTGTGTTTGTACCGATGACGTGGATAAACCGGACAAGAAGAATCATGATGCGGAATATACACATGATGTTGTATACTTTTGCTCGTGGGATCTTCGTGGAAATTCTCGGTCCTACGAGATATCATCAACGCTGATGTAGATAAATTTTAATAAAAATTTTTTTTTTAATTTTATTAAATTTTCTTCTTTTTTTTTATACCTCTGACTGGCGAGCTCAAGCTTGGTCTCGGCAAGGCCCGTGATGCACTCACCTCCTGGTCTAGGCAAGGGACAGCTCTCTGAAAATCAACCACCCACAGCCCCGTCCACACCCCCCCCTGTCTTCTCTCTCTACGCACTCGGGAAGACAATGAGTTCGTCTGCAATGGCATCTAAGACGAAGAGTCGAGAGCTGACGCCCTAGCTAGATCCAGGCAAGGGCGTAGAGGCCTTTGCCCATGGCCAGTGAGGGTACGCCCTCGCCCAGACCAGGCAAGGGAGCTGACCTTGCCGGCTAGAGATAAAAATAAAATAAAATAAAGAAAAAAGAAAATATCAAAATAAGAAACATATCAAAAAATGTTTACGTCAGCGCCAGTCGTGCCACGTAGGAGGGTAGATGCACACGTGAGCAATTTCCGGCTAAAATTGACTGGATGAATTCAATTGGAAAACACGAAAAAGGTTTATGATATTTTGGATAATTCTCCCAAACTAAAAATAACGAGCTTAGATTGGGGGAAAACGATTTTTTTTCTTATTGCAAGAAAGAGATCATTTTCCCTAAACTACCAAACAAATTAAAACTAAACTATTTTTCTCGAAAATAATTTCCTCGAAAAAATGCTTTCCTTCACATAAAGTTTAAGTTACGACCCGATTTAGGATGAGCCGCAAAGATAGTAATTGATTCACATTACGTACCATATCATGTCTCTTTTACAGCTAATTTCTACGCTAGTCTGCTGGCGGCAAGACAACCTCCGGGCGAGCGAAACCTGTCCTAGAAAGTGCTCTCTCGCGCCCCGTCGGCGTCGATGCTCATCAGGGACGGTACTTCTGGGCCTTTATAGGGACGGAAAAGCCCGTCGCCGTTCCTCTTTCGTTTTTTTGTTCCTTCTTGTCAGTGCTCAGAAAAATGGAAAACGGCCACCGGCGAGATGACGAATGATGATAGCAATCGTTAGCTTTATTCAGCTTTTGAGACGTCTGTGAAGTCCTTGGGGGTATTGAATTCATTCTTGCAATGTTGTCATGTACACACACACACAATTCATTAAAATTGATGCTCTAACTGGAAAATGAAAACGATTATTGCTTCACTCGACTCAGTTTGATTTTTGCACGTCGTCCTCCTCCAAGAGTCATAAGAAAAGCCATCTTTACATTCAACCCTACAAAAGAAGAGCACAGGCCATTCTCACCTCCACAAGTTGCTAGCATGTGTTCTTGAATGACTTCAGAACAAATGCTAATCGATTTGATTTGTTGGACCCTGTATGGTTTCAGTAAAAAGAGTTCAAATCATATCGACGGCCGCTCTCTCCCGCTATAGATCTCAAATTACGGTAGGTGCCCCGGGAATCGTCAGCCAAAATAGGCACGATGTGATGGACTCAAACTTCGGGTGTTCGACACGGCAATTGCGATCCGACACCCGACTTTGATACTCGACCCGAATCTTGGAATATCCATATAAAATCACAATCCACCCGGAATCTAGTTGTGATTAAAAATCATTGTTGTTTCAGGTGATACAGTTAGAATTTGCTAGTGGGGAAAAAAACAGAGAAGAGAAAGAAACAAGAGTAGCAATCCGTGGCTTGCGTGTTCTTACGCATTTGTTCTACCTTATTTATTTTAAAGTCAACTTCAAGATGCCGCATATTTAATTCGAGTTATTAAAAAATATATGACGACGACTAAATCACATCCCTTTCGTTATAGTTGATACAACTAATAAAAGCTCTATATTAATGTTTGATCGTCGAATTATTAACTTTCGAAGTGGTGGACAACCTTGTGATGCTGCGAAAAGCTAGCGTTTTGCGGCAGCTCTCTAAGGACAGATGATGTACGTATGAACAAGAAGGGAAATGGTCTATTCTACAGAGTTTGCTCTTTGTTTTTAGCTTGGTTTCTTTCTTTTATTGTATAATTTGTCTGCTAGAAGAGGAAAAAAACAGGGGAAACAGGAAGAAACACAAGATCGCGAGGTAACAGACTCACCCTAGACAGTCGAAAATGGGCTAAACTCACATTGATGATGAAGTAACATCTTACGAAGCTCCAGGACTAAAGCGGTAGATGGTATCGATACAGGGGATGGCTGATGGGAGTTTCCTTATTTCCTACTTGCCGACATAAATATCGAATTAACGTATTCAAACTAGGAAAAAAGATTTTTAAGACAGTGAGACCAGTTCCGACGATAGTTTGCTTGCAAGACTCGGGAACCTTGGATCATTCACGAATCTTGAAGATGCAGATGTCAGCAGAAAAAATCAAACTGGCAGGGATTTTGAAACAGTGAGCTTGCACCAAAACCTGAAACCACAAAACCTCGAGTTGGATGACGGCAAGAGGGTGAAAAGGCAAAAGGGGTAAATGGTGGCCTGTGACAGTATAACGAACTTAAAAAACTCCAAAGAATCATTGACCAGTTTAGTTTATAGCATTGGTGGAATCTTGTAACCATTTATGAATCTCATAAGTCACAATGGTAGAGAAACCCAGCATCATATATTGTATGCACAGCTCGTGCCAGATATTCCCGTTGTCTATGTCAAAGAAACATGTAGCGGAGCCGAAACAGAATCGCTTCTTGAAAGGAATCAGACAAACAAAATACAAGTACAAAGAGTCAGCAAAAGACCACAGAAAACTTTAGCTTATAGAATGTTTCCAGATTTATATTGATGAGCTCATCGTCTCACGTATCAGCCAAAAAGAAAGAAAGAAAATGAAATTGGATGTGGCTTGCAGACAATGCATATCAACTCTAATTTTTCAACGCCTACTTAATCAGGTAAGCAAAGACCATTTAATTACTACGTTAGCACAGAGGTCAGAAATAAAACCAAGAAGGGTGAATTTTCAAGGAAGCTGCAGTCGCTAATGCCAAATTTATTCCATGGGTCTAATGTTTGCTCCATTAAATATTATGCAAGAGGGCTAGAACAACCACAATTTTGAATAAAGAACATACCAAACATCTGCCCTATCAGATGGTGACAACATCCCTACTTGTAAACTTTCTTCAATTTGAAGATTGATCATGAGGAGAGTCCATTTAATTAAATCCCCTATCCAATGACAGCAACAAAGGAGAGAAAACCGTAAACTTGATTACCCAAACCATTAACCACAACGAAACAGGAGGTAGACCTCGTCAGATTCTGATCTTGGATGAGTTTTTGACGTAATCTCCATAAGGTCAACCAGAAAACAAGTACGTCCACATACTATATCAGCAAACAGAAAAGAGTGACAATTTAATGGATTCTACAATGTACTATTAGCCTGCACTTGAAGATTATATACCATGTATCCAGAACATTAGTATGTGACTGAAATAACATGGAGAATAGCAAGCCTAGCCTAAAAAAGTTTCTATAGATAGATGCCATACTTACAAATTGCTTCCGACATTCTATTCACAAAAACTCACAGAAGAGACATGAATTGAAACCATCTCTCATATTGTCCCATCATAATGGTATTGGCAAGAATATCCACAATAAGCAAATGGCTTCGTTATCAATGTACTTTTATATATGATAAAATTTGAATACAATGATTCAGCTGACCTACTGCTGGATCCTTCAACTGCAAAATGTACTGCTAGGGTACTCAAGTGTCTCAAATGTAAAAGGCAATAGCACTAAAATAATCACGAAAATGAGATAAAAATCAACAACAATAAAGTTGGATCAACAATTTCGAATTCAATGTAAAAGGCAAAAAGCACACTCCCCAAGAACGAACCTCTTGTCCAAGGATATTGCATCAAATAGAAGTTATGGTGGTGCATCCTAACTTTCAGTGCTCAAGTTGTTTCGGACTTTTAAGCGGTAAGGTACCAAAGGCATTCCTATAATAGAGATTTACCATTGTAATGGCCCAGCCCAAAAGCAAAAGGAGTAGATGATTGGTGGTTAATTGATATGAATCAACCCCACATTGACTGGTAAAAGAATCAGAGGTGATATGTAATTTGGAACCCTTCGTCACTAGCCAACAATTGGTACTTTTTTGGACCTTCACTTGCATAGTTTCGGCCAGGTTATTACACATCACTATTAAACTATCAAGAGGTAAAGGTCAAGATTATCACACTTGGTAGCCAAAACATCTCTCCCTCCCTCTTCATTCTCGGTGTAACATCGGCTCCTCTTAAAATGAGGAATTTGTAACTTAATGCCTTCTCTCATTGCATTTTCTTTGAAGCTGAAAGCAAATAAGAAATTATGCATATTTTGCTGCTGCTTTTTTTTTCATTAAAAAATTCATAAGATGCAAATTTTGAAAGTTTATAATACCAGTGGAACAGTAGGAGGGAAGAGATGGGAGAACAAAGCAACAACTGCTTCAAGATGCAATAAATCAAATCAGCCTTTCCAATTATGGGGCAACAGGGAACATGCCAAGAAGCATTCTCCATGCCAGAAAAGTTTATGTACATAATGATATATTCTATCAGTACATATCAATTACCAATGTATTCATGCCCGCAATAGTAATACATTTTCAGTCAAGTTCCGCTCTTCCACAAGTCAATGGTCATCCACAAGTAAAACTTAGACAAAACTAGGACAATCTCACTTATCCTCAGATTTAAGCCGTCTTGCAAGTACAAGAAGACCAAAGGATGCAAATGCAGACAAGATAGCTGATGAATAGCCCATCGCAAGTAGAGCACCCCTAAGAGACTGCATTGAAAGAATTCCATGTATCAGCATTCAGTCAATGTAGCACAAAAGGACATCCACACAAGGTTGAAGATGGTGTTCTCAGAAACCTTGGCCAGCAGCAAAGCATTATCATTTGCATACTGCAGAGAGCTCTCTGGGATGTTTTGAACACCTTGAGCTAGTTGCCATGAAAGAATTCTGCATTTCAAATGGTAGTTTTCAATTTAATCCTCTTCAATCTAATATAATTAGGCAAAAATATCACTAGTGATAAAAAGAATTAGTTACCCAAATGCAAAACCAATAGCAGCCCCAATGTTGGCTTTATCAGATGTTACTTCTACCTGAAGTTCTCCATACTGCATTTGAAAAAATGCGAAGAACCAGTTACAGATCGCATTATGTTAATAAGCTTGTCCTTGAGACCACAACAAGGAGAGAGCTAAAACCAACCTTAAAAGTTCGGGCTTCCTTCTTAGGTTCTTCAACTGTTGCAGCAGATACTTGGGTTGCAGCCAAACGCTTTCCAGTTGCAATCATTATCCTTGCAATCTAACAACAATTCAAAACAGTTTACACACCTCATATGAATCCAGTAGTTATGCCACATTCAAAGTGGAAAAGATATCTCTAAACAACTAAGCTCACATCATTAGGGGTCTTTATGCATGATCACTCATGGTTTAATCTTAAGTGCAGCCAGTTCTTTCACAGAAGGAGCCAATGACAAAAAAAAAATGTAGTTTCAGAAAACAAGGAAAAAGAGTTCATGCAATGACTGGGTTCAGATACTCATTCAAAGTGTAGGGGGCTAATTCTAATGATTTGATCAGGAAATTCTTCTTGCTAACTAATTAGCTTTAAAAGTGTTTAACTCTGACATGCAACAAAGTTAATTCACAGATTAAAATGGTGTAGGGCAATCTGAATTTTGAGTGTGCAGTTTCTGCTTCTTTGGCAGAGTAAAATTGCTCTTTTTAACCCACAGTACCTTTTGTTATCGTTCAAGCTCACATAGCAAGAGTATAACGAATTTTACTAAGCTGAGAGTTCACAAGTTCAGCGAAATACCTTGTCAAGTTCGCCTTGACCATACTGTCCCATGGACTGGAACCTCCTTCCAGCAGATAATAAGCGCTTCCCCAATGCTAAATCACCAAATGCATGATCATGAGCCTCATGACAGACCCTTAAGCATGTATTAAGCATCAATAAGCCAGGGTTTTCTTCATGCCTGATTTAGCATTATCAGTCAAAGAGCTCTCTAGCAGAGGGAGTTTGCTTGCCAAAGTCCTAGATGTCGAAGTGTCAGCCTGCTCCCATGATTTCGACAAATTTAACAATATCTCTCCAAGTTCTTCACCACACTGGCCATTGGAAAAAGGGAAAAAACATAAAACTTGCTAACGTCTGTAATAAAGCAATCAGCATACAGACGTCTGATATAATCCATCTCTCTTCGAGCTTCTTCAAGTTCCCAAGGAGAATTAAGAAAATCTGAACTCCACTCAATCAGTGAAACCACATGCCCAAAACAAATGAATCACAAAAGGCAGGAATTGGAGCTTAACAACTAACCTCATCAACAACCGGCCCGTTCGAAAGGTCAAAAGCCGCATCATTCAGCTTCAACATGCACCAAAAAAAAAAAAAATCCAACATGAAAAACTCAAACCAATCCAAATATTAAAACAAGGGCATATTATAGTGACGCCTCCTACAATTCACATGGCCACTCAAAGTAATCGGCCGCATTTCCTAATCACCAAAATAATGATCAAAAGGAACGGGCATCTGCTTCAGTTATACGAAAATGCTTAAACTTTGGGGGGGCGAAACAGGATGATTGCACAGCTTTGACAAAGCTGGTTGTAACCTGCAATTATAACTAAAGCCCACGGCCGCAGTGACACCCCCTTGTAACAGTAATCAATATCCATGCACGCCCCCTCCATAATTCGACCAGAATGCCCTGATCACGAAGCGACAAATCTCATGCACGGTTCCGAAAAGCAGAGGCCCTCCGCATAAGGCAATTTTCGCCATCTATCACTAGTACTTACATCCAAGCGAAGGTCGCGCGGGAGCTGAGCAAAGTAATCCGAAGGAAGGTCGAAGCTCTCCTGCGAATTCAAATGGCACCCAACGTGATTACGCCCGTCGAGACGGAACAACAGGCGAACGATAACGCATCACGACCGGAAATCCTTACGGCGAGGTCTCGGAGGAGCGGGCCGGAGCTGGACTCGAGCGATTGCCGGGGATCCGACTCCGTCAGAGCGAATCGCGCGGTGAGAGGCTTGGACGAGCGAGGCCCTCGGCGAGACCGGCCGGCGGCGAGGCCGGCGAGAGGGAGGAGGAGACGGCTAGGGCTCCGGCGAGGGAGGAAGCGAGGAGAGGAGGAGAGATCGGCGAGGGGCTGAGGGAGGAGGATGGTGGTTGCCATTGTTAGAGGCTAGAGCCGAAGGTGAAGCTCCAAGTGCAAGCCAAAGTCGCTCGGTTTGGCAGTTGCGGACGTTGGTCTCTCTCTCCCGTGAAAAATAAAATATCTTTTGACACAAAAAAGAAAAGAAAAGAAAATATCCGGTTTGTTTTATTCATTTTTGGATATTCATTAGTAAGTGCTTTCTTTCACAAATTACATTAGAGAAACAAATAAACTTCGAGCAACGAGGAAGAAAATACTGGATTTTTTTTTCTTGGCGAAATTTTTCAATATCGATGACTTCAATACGAAAGTTAGTAGGGGAAAATTTATTGCTATTTTCAGGGCTCCGTTTGTTTCGCAGAAAATGAATGATTTGGAAAGTATATCATAAAAATAATTGCTTGTATTACTTGAAATAATTAGCCAATAAAAAAAAACTTCAATTCGAAATTTAGTGCGGCTTTTGAGAGTAAAAGGTTGGTGAGTAGTGTGATTTAGCAAACTTCAATTCATACAGCTAAGTGTGAAGGTCTCGAGATTTTCATGCACCAAGAATCGAAGAATACTTGTCCAAACCCTAAATGAACTTTCGAAACATTTCTAGGACATGCGTTGCGGTAATTGTGCCATATTCTAGAGAATTCTCGACATAAATGCCGGTAATTGATAGATTGGGAGGTGCAATATCGGCCACTCGATCGAATGTCAATCAACGGATATAATCGAAAGGCCTCTAGTATAGAAAGGGATGCCCTCTCCCTCGTTTGTATGCATACAACAATTGAAAGCAATATAAATCACTTCTCTCCCAGAGCTTCCTTCTCTAGACTTTCTCTCTGCAAGTCTGATCCCAAACCTTCAACCCGTGAGATAAGCAGATGATTTTTTTTTTTACCATACTTACGAAAATGATAATCAAGCTTATTAGAATTACCATCAATCAAATGAACACATATCAAGTAATGCCAATGCTAAATTAGTACAATAGCACAAAGGTCAGGAAAAAAAAAAACAAGAGGCTAAATTCTGAAGTCAACAAAGCAAAATTTATTCCATGGGTCTAGTGTTTGCTCAATTAAATATTATGCAAGAGGGCTAGAACGAACACGATTTTGAACAAAGAACATTGAAAGCTGATTTTTTTTTTTGGGAAAACACCACCAAAAACTCTAAACTATGCCACTCGTGACAAATTTACCCTGAACTTTTTTTTGTGATACGATATACCCCAAACTATGTCACTTGTGGCACATTTACCCCACAATATTTTGGCCCCGTCTTTTTCCTTTTTCTGTTTTTTTTTCCTTTTTTTTTCTTTCTTCTCTAGTTCCTCCGCCGGCCATGGCGGAGGGAAGCCGGCGAGGGCGGCCCTCGCCGGCGTTGGGGTTGGGCTAGGGCAGCCGGCGGAGGGAAGAGAGAAGAAAGAAAAAAAAAGGAAAAAGACGAAAATGCCCTTTGGCCAAAGTATTGTGGGGTAAATGTGTCACAAATGGCATAATTTTGGATTTTTCGTGTCACAAAAAAAAGTTCAGGGTAAATTTGTCACAAGTGGCATAGTTTGAGGTTTTTTGTGGTATTTTCCCCTTTTTTTTTTACCATACTTACGTAAATGATAATCAAGCTTATTAGAATTGCCATTAATCAAATGAACACATATCAAGTAATGCCAATGCTAAATATATTACTACTAACTGCAAAACCGGCATACTAAATGACATGACAAAGCGAAGCTAGAAATTAAAAAATAAGTGAACTGCATTCAACAAGCAATGAAATCCGCCACATCATTTAATAAATTGAGTTTTACAAATCAATCTTAATATACCTATCATTCTCTCCCTTTTTGTGAAAGTAAATTAAATCTAGAACAAATTCCGTTGTCTAGATCACTGACAAATCATGGTGATTTTTCGCTGATTTTCCGCAAGTCTGATAACATGATATTGTACATTTTACATGCTGTCTTCTCCACCTTATACCATTTATTGTTGTTTGCCTATGAACTGTAATGAGAATATCATATCATATGTAACCGGAGCATCCCTTAAATGTTATTGGACCATATAAACACAACCACATGTATACAAAAATTTGACCGGGTCGCTTGAACTTAAAAGAGTCTCAGACTTTAGACCAGCAAAGTTCAAAAGAACTTTTGTATTAGTAGTAAGAGATCAGGATCAATTTCATTGTCTGATAACAAATTAAAAAGTAACTCCCTTGTCAATGCATCAGCAGATAAACCCTTCTAGACCATCCCACGAAGAAGTTGCACTGCCCTTAAGTAAATCATGGTTTATCAGATATCCTCCACTTGAAGTTTTGAAAGTGGCAGCATGGATATTAAATGTGCAAACATTAGGTTGCAACCGTGTACCATACATTTTATCAAGGTTCTGAGTTTTGCGAAAGCCATCTAGCAGAACATCATAGGCGAAAACGTCTGGAAGTTGGCCGGCAGCTTGCATCTCGTCAATTAGCTTCTCTGCAACTTCAGGTCTGCCAGCATGGAATAAGCTACCAATCAGCATTTGCAGTCGAACCCTCATCAGGCATTTCTGTGAAGAGCTCTATTGACTCATCGAACTTTTTAGCATTACAGTAGGTATCTATTTCAGTGTTGCAAGTATAAACATCAGGTGAGCAGTACCTTACCAAAAAAAAAAAAACATCAGGTGAGCAGTTTTGTTCACCATCAGTTTGAGCATCTTAGCATAATTGATTCAATGTGTAAGGCAATAACCATCCATCAATATTTTGACGTAACTATTTCAGGCTCCTCAATGACACATTTTGCTTCGGTTTTCATCCCTTCCATACAAAGTGCCCTGACCTCAGGGGAGAAGGTTCGAACATCTGCGACAACCCTCCTTTGCACCATATCAATTAACAGCCTTCTAGCCTCTACGCATTTACCGAAACTGCATAGACACTGAACCAACGAGGTATAAGTAAGAGCATCTGCGACAAAGCCTTCACGCACCATCTGCTCCAACAAAACTAGAGCTTCTCTCCACCGACCATGACCAGTGGCACCGTGAATCAAGTAGCTATAAGTCAATAAATCGGATTGGACGCCTTTCCCGACCATCTTGATTGACAGAGCAAGAGCTTGTTTCCACCGGCCTAAATAGCATAGACCCCAAATTAAGGAATTGTAGGTGATGATATCCGGTTCGACGCCTCTACCGACCATATCTTTACAGAGGTTTACCGCATCCGATACTAACCCGTCCTTACACAGAACGTCGATCACCGTATTGTACGCAACCACATTCATCCTGCAATTCTGTCTCTCCCACTTTCTCAGCAACTCCATGGCCAGGCTTCTGTCCTCCTTCCCCTTCCCCAACGCGCCTTTCAGAATGGCTCCATACGTGTACTCACTGGGCTTCAACCCTTGATGATTTCCCATTTCATCGACCAACCTCAGCGCTCGATCGATCTCTCCACCCTCGCACAGCCCGTTGACCAGCGTGTTCAACGTCACCAGGTTGACCCCGAACCCGAGCTTCAGGACCCTTCCCAGAACAGCGAAACCCAGCTCCACCCTCCTCAGACGGCAGAGACAGTTCATCAGAATCCCCCAAATGTAGACATTCAACCCAACCCCGCGAGCCTGCATTTCCTCGATCAAGGCAATGGCGGCAGAGTAATGCCTCATCCTGACCACGACGGACAACACCCGGCCAAATTCCTTCGTGGGAGGCAAAGGCTGCGTCCTGATGATCGCGTCGAAGCGGGACACGGCGTCGCGGAGCCTCCCGAAACCACCACCACCACCACCACCGGCGGCTCCAAATCCGCCGCTCCCGCGGCCCGTCGACTGGTCGGAACCGACGGAACGAGCCCTGCTCGAGCCAGCACCGAGTTCGCCGCCATTCTCGTGGAGCAAGTCAACGGAGACGGAGCAGAGAGAGATAGCGTTTCTCCCGGAAAACATCAAGCCGAACGAATTGGGCGCGATGCGTCGTCACCTGAACAACGGCACGCTCCTCTCAGTCCTCGCCGCCGTCGCCGTCGCCGTCGCCGTCGCCGTCGCCATTTTCACGCTCTGCGTGAGCTCTGCTCTGAGATTTTTTTTTTTTTGCGAACTGGGCTGGGCTTGTTTGATTTGGGGAAACAAAGCAGAAATTACTGGGCTCGGCCCGGCCCAATAGAGCTCGGGTTCAAGACAAAAAGAAAAAGAAAAAAGGAAGAAAAATAAGGCAAGAAAATAATGATATTCAGAGATTTGAGGAGTTAGTTTTTTTTTAAATAGAATATTGCGAATTTACCATAGAAAAGAAAATCAGTTTTCTTTTTTCGTGCTGGTGTTTTTATCCCTTGAAAATTATTGAAATGAGTAAACCATAATATTTTCATTATCATAGGAAGAAAATCAATGCTCTCCTTTCGAGCTGGTTTTTTATACATTAGTAGAAAATATTTTAATTATCGATAATAATTTATGTATAAATATTTTGTGGACTATGAAAGTATTTTTCATCCCTTCGACCGAATATGCATCGGCTCCGTTAGATCCTTGACTAATCATGCGACGATCTATTCGAAGAAACGGAACCCAAATGTTAGTGATATATTGAACCTGTCTGATAATAAATAAATTGGGAAAGTCTGCATTAGTCATCCAGACGTAAATGCTAAATATATTATCTTTTTTGGCTTTAATTTATTTCCATATGAATAAAAAAAAAATTATTCATCGGCAACGCACGCTCGTTGTTTGAGTACATCTTGGCTCCTTGTTGCTTTCAATAGTCCTAGGGGCTAATATGTAGAGAAGTCTTGGGGTCAACGTTGGGAAGAGAGGGTGGCAAATTCCTATTTGGATTCGAATGCCCCTTTAATATTAATATCACATTTATCTTTCTCGCTTAATCAACGAAAACCAGCATCTAGCAAATTGTAGAAGAAAATTGGTCCGAAAAACATTTTTATATTAAATGCTTATATTTACGTGCTCGATTATTTATATACTTAAAGAAGCGGGCATGTTGCTGAAATGTAAAGAGAGGATCCTTGAAAAAAAAAGTAATATTTTGCGAAACGAGTTAGACATCCAAGTGAGTTTCAAAATATTCAAAAAGAAAATATAAGCAACATCATTGAGTTTTCGATTGCTTATCGATCACCAGGTATGTTCGTGATTTCATACAAAAAAAAGAAAACCAGGTTTTTTGGTATGTCTTCTTTTGATTTTCGGCTTCGTACCCACCATAATCTTCCTTTAATTTCTTTTAAAATTAGATTAGGGTTTCGAAAATTTTTAAAGGAAATACAAAAGCGAGTTATTACATATAGCTTTTGTGTTTCTTTGGCTATAGAAAAAACTAAACGCTAAAACACAATTTATATTTTAGGAAGAAGAGAGAAAAGTATTGCAACCCTTTCTCCCCTAAAAGCAAGAAAAAGACGTGCTTCATATTTTGCAAAATAAAAAAATGAAAATAAAAAAGGAAAGAAATAAAAAAAAAAAACCACATAATAATACTTACGCTACAAAGGGCAAGGGTTTGCCCCACAAATTGCTAAACAACATCGGAACAGAGAATCAAATTACCATTTAATTAATTACTGATTAAGAAAATAATTAATTAAGGAAAAAACAGAGCAAAACCCATGTCTCTCTCCCCCTTTCCCTTTTTCCCTTTCTTGACAAAACGCCACACCACCACCAGAAACACCCCCCAGCCCCCGGCCCACCGCCACCCGCAGCCGCCGCCGCCGCCTCTGTCTCTCTCTCTCTTTGATGCGCTCCCTCGTCATCGCTTCCAGGCCAATCGCGTCGCCGCTCGCCGATTTCCTCTCCCGCCTCTCCCTTCCCCTCCGATCTCGCCTCCCCCGCCCCCGCCCGCAACCGCAGCCGCCCCCGATCGCCCGGCGATCCCCGTCCCCTCCGCCGCCAATGGCCATCCCGAGGGCGGCCCCGATGTCGTCCATGGCCGTCGACAACGAGGTCGGGCTCGCCGGGAAGTTCTGGATCAAGTGCCGCAGGGAGTCGCTCTTCGCCATGTACGCTCCCTTCGCTCTCTGCCTGGCCTCCGGGAACCTGAAGATCGACAGCTTCAGGCATTACATCGCGCAGGACGTCTACTTCCTCAACGCCTTCGCTCGAGCGTGAGTTCTTTCTTATCTGCGCTGCGATTTCGGTCCATCTGTTTGTTTCGACGAATGATGGAGTTACTAAGGAATGGTACGAGTTTCGGCGCTATTTTCGCATTGCTTAGCTACCTTGTAGAACGTTGTAAGCGAATTTTGGCAGAATGAATCATTTTCAACCCACGTTATTATGTCTCCATCTACAGTATAAGGCATTCAAACTTGGAAATATTGATTTAGATGCACAAATTTAGTCAAATAGCAAAATTTTGAGGTTGGGGGTCTTAGAATGAGCTGCGTTTTTGTAGTTTTACATGATGTTCGTCTTTCAGTTGAATATGGGTGTGAGAATATGAAAGCGACATCCTGCCAAGTGGTGTGAAGGCATCTATGAGAAAGTGGGGATTTGTTTATTGGTGAATATGTGATTTTCAGCGAACGTGAAGCTTGTTGTTTTGAACTAAGTCTTGTGATAGAAAATAGATTGCTTGGCGTTGGATGGTCTCAATTATAGCTGAACCTTGAAAATTGTGGGCTGCATTTTAAGAGTGGAATTTTTCGGATGATTTCAATTACCGAAGAGGAAATTTTTCTCCATGTCCTTGAGAATGTGTTTCATGATGCGAAGAGGTGCATTTGAATAAGCAATAGAGTCGTTTATTTGTTTTCTTGCAGAAAGTTTGAAATTATTAACTTACATGTACTGAAATTCCTGTTTCCATTTATCTGTTCATTAGTTACGAATTAGCAGAAGAGTGTACCGACGATGATGAAGCAAACGTTGCAATATCTAAACTAAGGAAGGATGTATTGGAGGAGCTGAGAATGCACGATTCATTTGCGCAGGTCAGTAAGGAGGAACATTTTGTGTTCCTTTGAATATGGTTGATACCAAATGGATGAGCACAAGAAAGGAGGAAAATTAGTGTCTGTTGTCGATACATTGATGGCTGTTAAGTTTAACCTAACAGCCAAGAGTCTTTTGGTGTTACCTTATAGGAGTTTTTCTTTAAGTGCTTGATTACGAGAAACTAAGAAAAGGTACTTTCTTCATATATTGACATGATATTGTCGACCACATGAATCCTTACTTTCGGTGTCCACTGCTTTTCACCCACATCCAAGCTATGGTTAAGTTTGGGCATGATGAAGTTGCCAAGAGAGATAATGCCAGAAAGATGTAGAATAGGAAATCTCTGAAGATTGAGCAACTGATTGAGAAACCAAGGACCCTTCTTCTACTGTTAGTGTTATAGATCAACACATAAATCCTACCTGTAGATAAGAAACGTTTAACTAACTTACCCGTGGTTCAAAGCCTTATCCTTAATCTATTCATACTCTGGATCTATGTGAGAACAGGTCTATGTTGCACTGATATAAAATAGGCTAACATAACAATTCATGTAATGGATCTATCATAAGGATGCTTGTTACTAAAAAGATTGATGTATATACTTCTCCTATCTGCTGGTGAGAAGGTATAAATAACTTTATTTTATCTTGCCCGCGGCCCATGTACTGTTCTTCAGGGACTAGGGAGTCTGTCTTATCCTTCCCATCCTTTTCTAGCCAGCGAGATTACAGGCTGTCCCCTTGAAATGGATATAGTTGGGCCAAGAAATTTCAAACCTAATCAGGCCTCTTTTTGTTATTGGTACTGGATGAGGCAGCTCCTGGGTTTTGTTTTAACGTGCTGCATGTCATGTTATATTGAGACGTCAGATATGGTAAATGAGCTTGATGGACCTTTGTCAGGAACGGTACAAATAGAAAGATGCTTTTCACCTTTTTTCACATTGGGACAGAGGAATTAGATTATTTGAGAGTAAAAAGCACTTGTAAATGTGGAAAGTGATTGGGTTTGTCATGAGTGTATCCTGTTGCATCAGCTGATCTTGCGAAGGTAGCATTTGTCTTAGACTTGTATGTAAATTTTTTTCTATGTAAATGTAACTCATGTCATGATAGTGAGTCACTTGTCATGATTAGAAAATGTAAATCTTTTTGTTTTGACAGTGAGAAAAGGACCGTATGTCAACATTCTCCCAAGAAATTACTCTACTTCAAGTAATGGCTGAGCAGATTATTGTGTTGAGTTAGTATGATTAACATTAACATCTTGACTACTCTCTATACGAAATCATCCAATATTCCTTTCAACATTTATGCAAGTCCTTTCTTGGTCTAATTGTATGAGTTATACAGGAGTGGGGATCGGAGGTTACCAAGGAGAGCACTCCCAACTCTGCAACGGTTAAGTATACTAATTTTTTGTTGGCAACAGCCTCAGGGAAGGTTGAAGGAGTCAAGGGTCCTGGAAAACTTGCTACTCCCTTTGAGAGAACAAAAGTGGCAGCTTACACTATTGGTGCCATGACACCCTGCATGAGATTATATGCGTTTCTGGGTAAGGAGTTCCAGACACTCATAGATGCCAACAAAGATAGTCACCCATACAAAAAGTGGATTGACAGTTACTCGTCTGAGGGTTTCCAGGTTGGTCATACACTTCAGCTGTGACCTTTTCTCCTTTCTCGTACTTGGAAGATGATATGGTTTTTCAGTTTGCTATTTTAGCTTTGGTGTGAAATACATTACTGGAAGGTCCTCTTACTTCAATAGCTCAGTATTTTTATTCTCTTAATTTAGGCAGCAGCTCTGCAAATTGAAGACTTGCTGGATAAACTAAGTGTCTCTTTGACAGGCGAGGAGCTTGACATCATTGAAAATCTTTATCACCAAGCCATGAAACTTGAAATAGAGTTCTTTCTTGCCCAACCACTTGCCCAGCCTACCATTGTCCCCTTGATTAGAGAGCCCAGTTTGGCAGCGAATCGTCTTATGTTATTTTCTGATTTTGATCTGACTTGCACAGTCGTTGATTCTTCTGCCATTTTGGCTGAGATTGCCATAGTTACTGCTCTGAGAACTGATACAAGTCAGTCTGAAAGTCAACTTGTTAGGATGTCATCAGCTGAACTGAGGAAGACATGGGACATCCTTTCCAGACAGTATACAGAGGAGTATGAACAATGCATAGAAAGCATTATGCCAGCTGAAAAAGGTACAGTTTGCTGCATTTATTCTTCAATGCTCATACCCATACCCCTGCCAGCACTGTCTAGAATGTTCTTTTCATTTTTGGTTTACTACTTGCAGCTGAGGCATTTAATTATGAACCTCTGGCTAAAGCACTCGAGCAGCTGTCCGATTTTGAGAAACGGGCAAATTCTAGAGTGATCGAGTCCGGGGTCCTTAAGGGTCTGAATCTTGAAGACATAAAGAAAGCTGGTGAGAGGATGATTCTTCAGGATGGTTGCAACAGTTTCTTTAAGAAACTGATTAAGAATGAGATGGTGGATGTCAATGTCTATGTGCTCTCCTACTGTTGGTGTGGCGATTTAATCAGATCAGCTTTTTGTTCAGGTAAACTCCTTTCCTTTTGGGGGCTACCCATCTTTTGCATAAGACTTTCTACTTGCATGTACACTAAAATACATAGAAAGCACCTGGGAGTGCTACTACCATCTTTTGATTGCTCAAGTCATCTACAGTCTGTGCATTTGAGAACTTAAGAGATTGCTATCTGCCTAGGGTATGTAATTTACTTGTGACATTCCTGGCGCAGGGGATTTACAGCTTCTGAATGTACATACAAATGAGTTGACTTTTGATGAGTCCTTTTCTACCGGTGAAATTGTCAAGAAGATGGAATCTCCCATCGACAAGGCCAAAGCATTTGATGAAATTTTGATGAACAGGGAGGATGATAAGAGGAACTTGACCATCTACATTGGAGATTCAATAGGAGACTTACTTTGCCTCCTTAAGGCTGATATTGGAATTGTGATTGGGTCAAGTTCAAGCTTACGGAAGGTGGGAAGTCAGTTTGGAGTTTCTTTCGTCGAACTTTACCCTGGGTTAGTCGAGAAGCAGAAAGAGTACAGTGAAGGGAGCTCTGCTGATTGGAAGGGATCATCTGGCATTCTTTATACTGTCTCTAGTTGGGCTGAAATACATGCATTTATTTTGGGATGGTAGCTGAAAATTTCCTTTTGCGTATCCATATTCTCTCTTTAGTTAGGACAAGAAAAAGGCAAAATAGTTTTATACATAATGGAACAGAAAGACAAGATGGTGGCTAATTTTATTTGGAGCCACGGGTCTACCGCTGTTTCCTCTCGATTTTTTGTTTTCCAACAGGCTCTGTACTTCCAAGCTTCTTGAGTATGCCAAATAACACAGAATTGTCAGAAATATTCATCTTATGAAGTATTGCGATGTAATTTTGTGGCTGTATGAGATGTTTTTCTTTGGAGTAAAAATGGCATTGGAATTGCATGATGTTTGTCTGGCTGGCGAGTGAGGTTACTTCTGTAGTGCACCGATATGGGCTATCTCTGCTTGCCAGTGAGATTTATTTTGTATCGCAGAATTTTCTGATGCGGTTTTATTCATTATACATGGATGAAATATGATTTGAGTTAGCCAGTTTTTGGGTCGTTCTGAGAAGGCAAACGAAGCTCATTGTGTGGTCGCTTCTTCCGGAGGTTCTATCGTCAGTTCATTATATTGCAGAAACCAAGATTGACCAATGGTTTTAATTGAGGCGCTGCACAAGACAGTGATTAGTTTGTGTATACATGCAAAAATAGACGAGAAGAGGCAGTGCGAAATTGAATCAGAAGCTCTTTGTATTCTCTTGTTTTCTGTCGTGCAGAAAGTACCGAAGACTCTCGTTACATGTGTTGGCTGAGTTGTCTTGTTCATGACGATGGAAGTAATTTGCATTGCCGGAGCATGTGTGTTGAACAAAGTTTGCGCATGGCCAATCTGCAAAACATACAGAAACTTTGGTCAATCTGCATTAACTTAAACAACGCATGAGTGGTGGTAACTCACGCTCAAAACTCCTCCAACATAGAGTCCCTGCGGCCCCTTTCTCCGGCTTTGCTTGCGCGATTTGCACTTCTTAACGGTCCCTGACCCCAATGAATGGACTATCAAGGGGTAACTGGAGCCCTTACTTGTGCTTTAAAACATACAGAAACTTTGGTCAATCTGCAATGACTTTGACAGTGCCTTTTCATTAGTCTAGCTGGGAGCATGTGTAGAAGCAAAGTTGAAGACTTAAATCATTTAATCATAATTGAAATTGAATGAAATGGCATATAAAACTTACGTGAATTTTTATTTAAAGTGGATTCACCCCGTCATGCAGGTGTACCTTAAGAAAAAACACAAAATCCAGGATTTCGATATTTATTGAGTAATAACGTAAGCAGATAATATATTTAGAGCGTATAAAACAGTATGTATCAATAACAAACATGCGAGCATAAAGTGGAATGTGGAATGTAAATCTCCCTTTCTCTCGGTAGCTTTCCTCCATTTTATCCAAAACTTCACCTTTTGTGCCACTGATTTTGTGTGGAAAAGACGAGCAAGCTATTTATATAGCATTTTCTTGAGAATAAAATGATTTCATTTTCTCCTCCACTTGCTCCTCTCCATTCATAGAGAGTTAAAAGGAGACTTCTACATGATCACGTTCCAATTCCATAGATTTCATTTTCTTTATTTTACGATTTCTTCCTTTTTCTTTTTGGTTTTAATGTCTATTTTTTGTTTTGGTAAGAGTTGATAGATGTTTCTTATCAATAACAACATATCATAAAGAGAAGTATTAGATATCTCAATCGGGACCTTAACACCCATGGCTAGGACCCCGGCAATTGGGCATGGCCACTGGAGACCAGCCCCAACTATCGGGTCTTTGGCCCGGCCGCTGGGGACTCGGGCACGAGTGTTGAGGTCCTGATCTCGGCCTTGGAGGACCCAGGCCCTAGCGCTGAGGTTATTGGCCTTCCCGCTAGGGGTTCAAGCCTGGCTCGGGCATCGAGATCCGTGGCTCAGCCTGAGTCCCTCAAACATAAGCATTAAGGTGCAGTCGTATTTTGAAAAAAAAATTCTAAATTTTAAATGATGAAGTTATTCTCCTCAACTTAAGAATAGATTTTTCGTTAATTTTTTAAACGATCCAAACGTACAAAAATGATTTTCGACAAAAAAAAAATTCACCAAGTCAAAGTACCAATAACAAGCAGGGAAATTCTTCTTGGACCTGAGTTCGGGGAAACCCGAATTCATCAGGGCCATGGGGTGACGAAATTTCCTGGTCAGTTCATTTGTACTAACCGTTCAGTCGAGTCAAAAATAATAAACCCCTATGATAGAAAGGTACGGTTGAAGATCCTATTTTCACCAAATACAAGAATTTCGTTTTCAGATTCGATTCTTTTTTTTTTTTTTTTGGTAACTCGGGAACCCCCCGCAAGGCCGACAGCCGGGGAGGTAAACCCGGGGTGACGCTAGCGCAGGACCCACCACCACGACGTCACACTTAAGAATCCCTAACGCCAGCGCTGGGATTCGAACTCCTACCCTTCGTGGGGGGAGGGGAGCCCGAAGCCAGCGCAGCCGCTGAGGGCGGTGGTCAGATTCGATTCTTCATTCGGCAAAACTTAGTACTTGCTTACTTAGTACTTGATATAGGGATACTTTCTTGAAACTCTCTAAATAAAAATGCATATACTAAGCTGACCAGATTAATTACAGAGGAAGTGTATAAATGCGAAGAACAAGAAATTAGAGAGCAAGGCGTAGGAGGGACTATTCACCATCTCTCCACACTTCCTTAATGCACAGTGGATGTGAACACCCACCTTATAACCCAATTCATCTAGCACATTATATAGAGGTCGATATGGCCGTGACAATGAAATATGCAAAGTAGAAGACTAAGGGCGCGAATGATAACCATTCTGCTCCAGAAATTGATTTATGGAGGAAAAATTTGTTTAATAAAACATGACTAATTCTGTTCTAGAAATTAATTTTTGGAGGAGAAATCTGTTTGATAAAACAGGAGGAAATTTCTATTTCTGAAAATTTTTGAGGTTCCCAACAAAATTCAAAAAATATAAATTTCACTCAAAGTGGGTGGCCACAGGTATTCTAAGCCATTTTATGAAGTTTTGAAATTTTTAATTTTTTTTGGGCACTTCAAAAAATTTAAATTTCACTCAAAGTGGGTGGCAACATGTATTCTAAGCCATTTTGTGAAGTTTTAAAATTTTTGATTTTTTTGGGCACCTCAAAAATTTAAATTTCACTCAAAATGAGTCGCCACAGGTATTCTAAGTCATTTTATAAAGTTTTGAATTTTTTATTTTTTTTTGCATCTCAAAAAATTTAAATTTTACTCAAAGTGGGTGGCCACAGGTATGCTAAGCCATTTTGTGAAGTTTTGAATTTCTTGAAATTATTTGGAAAAAATTCAACAAATTTCCTATTTTCCCGAAATCTGACTTTTTTTTATTTTCTGGAAATTTTTATGAATTTTTCTGAAAATTTTCAATTTTTAGGGATTTTCTGAATTTTTTTTTAGATTTTTAGGAATTTTCCAAATTTTCTAATTTTTAGGAATTTATGGAGAAAAGAAGGAAATCTCATTCTGAAAGAAAGAAGCTAGAAAAATTAGCTTCTGTTTTTTGGGCCAAAATGCATTATGGAATCAAAAAGTGATTTCGGAGCCAAAAAAAGAATGCATTTTTACCAAACGTGTTTTTGTTTCAGAATGCATAAATTGCTTCAGAATGCGTTCCGGAAATTTTTTAACAAACGCATTTCTATTCTGGAATGCATTCTGGAGCAGAAATTCTGTTCTAGAATGCATTTCATGCGCACCCTAATGGTCACAATCACAACAAATCAAAACTGGATGATGTTGACACATATTTTTATTGGTGCAGGTGGAGAATAGAGAGTGCATGAGTTGTTAAAAACATGATCATGAGGGAAGGATACTTTCGTTGAGATAAAACAACACCCAAGATCTCCATAGCTAAAATCTAGAACATAATAATTGAGTAAAATGAATTTGCGTACATGATTTATAATTCATCGTTCTTGATGTGGAATAATGATGATTCTTAGCGCAAATCTTCTCCTCTATTATCCTTTGTATCAGTAGCTCAATGAAACTGTCCTTCACAGTTAGCGTTTGTTCCTTATGTGAGATAATTTGTACATCTGAGTTAGGAGAGGGACATGAGCACTATTTATAGAGTTTTAAGTCATGCCCTCTCATTATGGGCCATGCCTTACTCGGTGCACACTAATCAGTTTCATATTAGACTATTTAAGAAACTTTATATCTTAGCTTATTAGACCAGCTTCGTAAAATGGTAAATTACAATATTAATTAATATAGCCCACATCAGAAAAACTCTTACATTCTCCTACTTGGGCTATATTAATTGAAATTATACTATATGTGCGCACCTTTATGTTGGTCTAGAGATCATTCTTAATAGTTAATCCGATCACATAAAGTCTCAAATACCAAATCATGGCGGTAAATGTGTGTATACACATAGAGCCTTCCATGGTTACAAATGCTTTTAACTTTATTGATATGAATTCAATATGGTAGTGTGGTAATTAGATAACACCTCAAAAAAAGTAATACCTTATGTGTCATCCCCTTGTTAGTCCATATTCTCTTTCCTTAAGTATCACAAAACCGGATGTGTCACTAGAGAATATCCTTATGGTTCCGACGAACCTATATATGTTTTATCTTTATAGTTAACTTTACTTTATGTGTAATAAGACATATCATTAAGGCTAATAACTAAAGCCTTTACTCAAGGTTTACACAATGCATTCACAAACACCTTATTAAATATAAATGAGTCGATATATATATCCAAAAATGTTACTAAATGTAACATATCACAGATGTAAACTTTATTGGAGCAAAGATAAAGCAGCTCCCACTAAACAACAGCATCCCATGATACTCCTAAGCCCATATTAATGACATATCGTTCAATTACACAAGGACGAAGGCCTTTAGTTAGTGGATCTGTAATAATATCATTTTTGAGAATATGCTCTACTTTAATGTCACAATTCTGAATTGTTTCCTTGATAGTCAAAAACTTGACCATCATATGCTTAGATCCATTGAGACATCTGCCGTTGTTGATAAACAATACTGCATAGTTATTATTACAATACAACTGTATGAATCTGTCCACAAGATCAAATACGGTTAACTCTCTAATGAGGTTCCGCAGCCAAATTACTTGAGTAGCTGCCGAAAAGCATGCTTTAAACTTCGCTTGCATGGTAGATAATGATATAGATTTCTATTTCTCGTTTTTCCATAATACCGCACTTCTTGCTAACTTAAAGATGTAACATATTGTTGACTTTCTGTCATCCTGACAGTC